ATTTTCAATTTTCTCGAATTAAAGCTATACTTTACTACAGTTTATAATGAAATAGTTCTTCGATTATTTTCAAATATATCTTACTCTACTAATATACATTTTCTTTCAAAGGAACGTTACATATTTCTTTCAACGTATCAATCCATTCCTTTGAAGTATTCAGCGACTTGAACTAACCTCGATTTAACAATCGAAACGATTCGAGAGATCGATTTGCCTAGTGAATGAAAAGAAAAATGAATGAGAAGATCCAGCGGACGGTTTAAAAATGAAACAACAGAGGATTGTTTCTTTGCATTTGAATATTTGTGGCCGGAGAACAAATTTGAACTCGCGAGTTCGCCTGGTCGCAGTAATTCAAGGAACCATCTCGAATTCAAAATTCAATTATCCCACGTTTCGTTACTGTTTGCGCGCCACATGACAGCCGATCGATATACCGACGGTATAAAAAAGGGGGGAAAAAGAGAGAGAGAGAGAGAAAGCGAGAGAAAAGGATCGTTCCAGCGGCGGGCGCGGTGGTCTGGCGTTCCCGAAAATTAGTCAAAAACACGCGTTTCATTCCCGTTTTCCGAAGTATTCCCAACGTAAGCCTGGCTGCTGTTCCGCGTTTCCTTTGTTAATTAACGATCGTTTAATTACCCGGTTGAAATTGGGTTGCCGTCCGAGAACGATGATTCGTAAATTGCCCAATTTTTCGAGCGGCCACGTGGAATGCGCCGCGCCCCCGCGATGTTGTTCCTTCCATCGAATATCATGATAATTAGGAACCCGATGAAAATATCCGCTGGTGCTCGCGGATTCGTAAATCGCCGATAGTTGATTAACAGCGCGGTTATAGACAGTCTCGAGGTCGACCGACGCGGACGTTGAAGGAGGGAACTCGTATCCATCCTGAGTGGAAAAATTGAATAATCGATTTATTTCCCGTTTCTCTTTTTCCCTCGCGTTTTATTAAGTTCGAATCAATTGCTCGTCCTTTTCTCATGAACAACTAGATATATTTTTCAAATCAATTTTGTGAAGATTAGAATCGTGTTTTGGGGATATATTCATTTGAACTTCGATGTTACAGCTTAATTTGTTACTATCATTGTTGGTTATCACGATTATTTCTATTATTATCACTTTTGTTAATTTTATTTTCAATGTTTCTATCGTGACCATACCGCGTGTCCATTTGAAAACGCGTTTATCAGCTATATCTAAAAACATTATGTATACCGAATTTCTCCGTTAGCGTTACGACTGCGTGTACTTGTAAACCTAACTACTCTGCGAACACCTTGTACATCTGAAAGTGTAAACACAGCAGTCCGACGTTTAGATTTTTAGTCACTCCAACCCCCAACGAGAATCATTAATCCTTTGCACTCCAGAGACACCTCTCAGCCAATTGATCTGACATAGCAAAATTGGAAAGTTTGATATTTAATATTAAACTTGGTATAATGCATCAATATGTGAAATATTGAAAGACACTAGTTCTCAGAAAATGTCATCTGTATCTCATTAGAAAATATTGAGTATTTCCATGAAAAACGTCCGAAGTGAAAAGGGGTGAGGCTCAAATCTTTCCCCCTCTCTACTAGCAAATTCTCCCTTTCTCAAGTTTCCTGAAATCCCAACAACCGAGAAGAACAGT